GTATTGGTATTGATTATGTAGTACAAATATAAAATAATAGATACATGAGTTTATGCTATTCCTTACTGAACTGTGAGCTCTGTGAACTGCATATCCAGTGGATACATCCAGTACATCCACAGTGGATATGGATAAATGTAGCCATGTGTCTGTGATTACGACTTCTTCCATACGAGCACACAACAGCCGTACAATAACATTTATTTAAATGAATTTAACTATGTTCATATATCATGACTAATTTGTTATAGTAAATATTTATAATTAATTTGGAGGCATACCACTATCTGTTATAATAATTTTTTTCAAATTTAAATAATATGTGAAAAATATAGAAAAATATAATGAGACCAAAAGTTTTCCACAATCTCATCAGCCCCTTCTTCCCTCAAAATCTATTATTAACTTTAAAAATATTTCTTTATTTTTAATCAGATTTTACCTAGTTGAAATAAATGTGAGTGTATGTATGTATCCTTATTTGCAGTCCTAATTTTCTAACATAACATTACAATTCTATTTAGTACACAAAAGTCTCTTTTTGTATGTCATTATTATTCATATGTATGCACTGAATTCACACACACACACAAGGCCTATCCAGAAAAAGTCCAGCTATTGTTAATATAATGAAAATGGTTTGCATGACAACCATGTAACCTGGAAGCCAGGAAGAGTGGACTGGAATGTACACGTGTGGACAATGACAACTTCACTGTACTAGTCAGTGGGGGCAGTAGGTGCCGTTGAGTGAGCATATGCACTGTGTGACCATCACATTCAAAATGACTGAGAGAGAAGAGGAACAAGTCTGCATCAAATTTTGCATTAAGCTTGAACATTGCTATTCTAAACAGAAACTATTTAGATGATTCAAAAGGCTTTCTGGCATGATGCAATGATTGCAGCACAAATACAAGTGTGGCACAAATGCTTTAAAGATGGTCGAGACTCTGTTGACAGTGATCCGCATTCTGGAAGGCCTGCAAGAAGCAGAACACCTGAGAATGTTGAATGTTTATGGGTTTCAGTCAACATCGGCGACTGACAGGGAGAGAACTAGAAGCCGATCTGGAGATTCTGAAAACTAGTGTCTGAGATTTTGACATGGGATCTTGGCATGAAAGGTGTCATGGCATAATTCATTCTGCATCTTCTGTTACCAGAACAGAAGAAACATCATGCTGCGTTTGAGAGAACTATGTGAGGTCCCAATGTGCCTACTTTGAAGGGGACTGAAATGTCATTGTCCTATGTACAATGTTTCTTATATCTTGTATCTTCTTCAATAAATGTCTCTATTTTTCATAGCACATGGATGGATACTTTCTGGACACATCTCAATATACATATATAAAGATAGTAACAAATTCTATTTCATTATTATATCTACTAACTTCTTTTCCAGCATAAGAGTGCCTAATATTCCTTGGACCCTGAGATGTCAGCCTAGCAGACTTGGCTGAGTCCAACTGTGACTTGGAGCAGCAGCTTGCTGCATGCCCCCTCCCCTTCTTGAATGTACTCTGGACTTGCAGTGAGCTACCCCTGGGTCTTTCTTGCTCAGCCATCACTCTACTTTCCTTTTAGCCACACGTGGCTCTGGGTCTGGATGAATTTTCTGCCTTGAGATCGGCATAAAAGTGGGAGAAACTCGAGAAACCTTCAGAGTGGATCCAGATGGCCAAGCTTCTTCAGAATCAGTGTCCAGTGCTGAGCCGAGAAGCTAATGGATTCTAGTCTCCTCCCACAGGTGACAGAGTGAGACTGGAGAAAGGACACCCCCGTTGAAGTATGGCTAGGAAGGCACTGTCATGTGCCCTTTGGCAGACTGCCTGGGAGTGTCTGGAGAGACAATGATGTGGTAGTGAAGACCATGTCTGCACATGAATGAGTGGCTGCTTAGAATTCACTGTGATGCCATTGTGACTCTCACACTTCCGGACTCTTCTATTAGGCAAGAAAGACTGCTGTGTGATTCCTTTGCACGAAGCCTAGGAGCTACATTGTTTTGTCTTTTTGTCAAGCCCAAGTTTGTCTTTGGCAGATATGCAGGGAGTGGCCAGCTTTCACTGAGCTTGGGTGTCTGCAAGGCAGATCAGGAGACCAGGTACCAGACACATGTGCCAGTGACCAGTCATCTCATGAGGCACCAGACACAACTCTGTGGACTGTTCCATGTGATTCAGAACCTGCTTTTTATTAGCCTTCCATACCCTGACCTCTCTCTTTTCCGTACTATCTAGATGTTGTCATTTAAATTCTCCTGCTTGTGATTTTTCTTCTTCAGAAAAAAATAAATAAAAAGCAAAAACAAAACAAATGGATAGAAACCACAAGTAAGTGGATTCAAAAGTATATAGAACTTATATTAAAATATCACTTCTTATATAATCATGATTAAAATTTACCTACATTAATGATTTCCTTTTCCCTTTTGTACCTTCAGAGCTGCCTGCAAAAAGGACACTCATAACTATAGCCTCCTCTTCTTTTCTCCCCAGAAATTTAACCTAAAATGCTCTTTTTTTCATGACAATAGTGGTTGCATATTTCACAGGTACCATAGTGGCATTACAAAACTAAGCTCAGGAATAACCTACTTCTTTAAAATATAACTTCATTTCTAGAACTCATTTTTGATCCTGAAAATGTCTCAACATATATTCTTATCAAGAAATATTTCATAAGATTTTCCCTTTGCTGAAATTTAACAATTAAATTTGATATCAAAGTGTAATAATGTGTCAGAAACTGATGACATAAATATTATTCTATTGGTTTTAGTAACAACTCAACTGAATTATCCAGCCTTCAAAATTAAAAAATAATGATGATCAGGAAGCATTCCTAAATTCCTAAAGCACATTTAGGAATTTGAGAGTTTGTCCATTGATTTCTGAGATCACCAATCAATCTTCAGAAAAACAAGTTTTCCTCCCTCTATTTTGACCCACTAGTGCTGTCCCTTTAACTACCCTAATAAGAATGTATGGAGGAGAGTGTGCAGTTTGAAGAAGGAAAGTGTGGAATCAGGAAAAAGGCACACATTCTCTGAACTAGCCTTTCTTACAAGAGAGAAAGTTATCTACTCACCTACTGATGGGCACTTGGGCTACTTCTCAATCTTGACTATTATAAATAACATTGCAATAATCACAGGGGTGCATATATCCTTTCCATTTAATATTTTGGGTTTCTTTGGATATATTCTCAGAGGTGAAATTGCTGGGTCATAATGCAGTTCCATTTTTAATTTTTTGAGGCAAATCCATACTTCTTTCCACAGAGCTACACACCGATCTGCATGAATACTATTTAGACTTTAAAAAGAAGGAAATCTTACTTTTGTATGAATGGACCTGGAGAGTATTACACTAAGTAAAACTAACCAGTCAGACAAAGACAAGCACCATATGATTTCACTTATTTGTGTATTCTAATAAACAAAATAAACTAACTAAAAAAACAGAAGCAGACTCATAGATACAGAGAACATACAGACAGTAGTCAGTGGGGAAGGGAATTGGGGACTAGGATAGGAGGAACACAGGACCATCATGATATGAAAGCTGAGTCAAGTGTTTCAAAGGGAGGGGGAATGGCTTGTACAGTCTGGATAATGTTATCAATGGAATGAGTAAAATGAAAACAGAATAGTGGTCAATGAAATTTGTAAATTTCATGGAGATCATTGGTAAATGAGACAAGAGCAGTTGCAGAATATGGTGGAGAAGAAAGCTAGATGAGAGAGAATATGGGAATGACTAGAAGGTAAACAAGTCAGGTAGTGAAAATAACGAGAGCTGGATAGATAGTATAGACAATAGAGATAATTATTTTTAAAATTTGATGATAAATAGAAATGTGTTCTGCAGAAGTGAGGTGAATGTGGAATAAAAGGGAGTTTGTTTATTTAATATGTTGAGCCATTTTTTGCATGTTGTAAAAATGATCTACAAAATGGAATTGGGGGAATTAAGATATAGTTGGTAGAGGCAGGAACTATAAAAGACAAGCCTTTAAAAAAAAAAAAAAAGAACAGTGAATGAGATATAGGAGAAAAGTGGAGAGAGTTGGCCCTCAATGGAAATTAGGTTTTTTAGTTGGTAAGGGCAGACATAGAATGTAAATACATAGATGATATATATATATATAGTGTTTAGGTGCAAATGTTGAAAGTTTAATGAGAGAGAAAATAAGAGAATAGAAAAGTATTGTTTAGTTATCTCCAGATTAAAACAGCAGATGTTCGATGGTTATTCATTATACTTCAGATTCGATTCTGTAAACTTGATTGAAATATAGTTATTATGAGGATAAAGTAGGATCAAGTATGTAAAGTCCTTGGATACAGTGTCTGAGATATAGTAGGTACCCTAAAATGATAACTTTATTACCTACATATTTTGTAGCTCTAGAAAAAAGATGAAAGAAAATTAACAAAAATGGAAAGAAAAAAGTAAATGAATATTCCTCTAAATTATTTTTAATATCACTGAGGTATAATTGACATACAATAAATTTTACATATTTAAGAGTGTATAATTTGATAAATTTATCTATACATATATATAGTATATATGCATATACACATACTTATGCAACCATTACCACACTCGATTAGGATAGTGAACATAAGCATCACCACTAAAAGAATCTTTATGCCCCATATAAATTCTCTCTCTTGTCCCTTTCTGCCCCCACTTCAAGAGAAACATGGATTCTGTCAATGTAAGTTTGCATTTAGTAGAATGCTACATAATTGTAATTACTTAGTAGGCTTTCTTTCTTGTCTAAGTCCTTTCACTCAGTGTAATTATGTGAGTTTTTAATGTTGCATGGGTTGAGAGTTTTGTTTTTTTAATTATTAATGAGTAGTATTACTGAGTAATACATCAGCGTTTATCCATTTACCTGAGATAATTTATTTACCAGAAATCTGAGTTGTTTCCAGCTTGAGGCCAATAAACATTTGTTTTCAAGGCTCCGTATGAGTATATACTTTCATTTCTCTTGGATCACGACCTAGAAGTGAAATAGGTGGGTCCTGACTGCTGAACTGCCTCCTCACCAGCAGTGTATACAAGTTCCCATTATTCTACATTCTTCACCAATATTTGGAATTCTCAGGACTTTCATTTCAAACATTTTAAAAGGCATGAAATGGTTTTCACAAGTGATTTTAATTTTCACGTCCCTGATGACTAATGAAGGTGAGCATTTTTTATGTTTATCTGCTACCAATGTATCTTTTTGGTAAAGTTAAAATCTTTTCCCCATTTAAAAAAATTGGGATGTTTTTTCATATTGTTGAATATTGAGAGTGCTTTACATATACTGGATAAAAATTCTTCATCGTTTGTAATCTGAAAATATTTTTCTCCTATTCTTTGCTTCTCTTTTTGTTGTTTCCATGGTATCTTTGGAAGAGCAGAGAGTCTTAATTTTGTTAAGGCCAATTTATTTTTCTCTCTCAAGAATCTTATTTTGGAATGAAATGTGAAGATGTATATTTGCCAAACTCTAGGTCATAGAAGTTTTCTTCAGTATTATTTTCTAGCAATTTTATTTTATCTTTAATTGTTTTATTGCTGTTCAAGTACAGTTGTGTGCTGTGTGCATTTACCCCTCCACGCCCCTCCCAGCCACTCTCACCTCGCTCCCCTGACCACACCCCCAGCTGGTTTTGTCCATGAGTCCTTTCTAGTTGTTCCTGAAAAAGCTTATCCCCTTTCCCCCGTTATTCTCTCCCACCTCCCCTCTGTTATATTGTTCTTAATTTCAGTGTCTCTTGTTATATTTTGCTTGCTTGTTTGTTTTGTTGATTAGGTTCCACTTAAAAGTGAGATCATATGATATTTGTTTTTCACCACCTGGCTTACTTCACTTGGCATAATTTTCTAGCAACTTTATAGTTTTAGAATTCCTGCTAACATTTATTGTATTAGAAAGTATAAATAACATCAATACAAATGATATATTAAGTATTGGAAACCACAACAAAAGCTCATTGAATCATCACAATTGCAAAGTTACTTTAACTTCTATCCTCCACTAAGAAGCTTGTCTAAACCTCATCAGTTAAATCCAAATCTTTTTCTATGGGAAAGGGTAAAGTGATCCAACAAAGCTATAAAAGTTTGAGCACTTATCTTAAAGTTCTGCATCATAATTGGATGGGAGAATGAAGCCTTCCCTCTTCTTGGGATAAGAAGATCCCACCACTAATCATATTTTCCTTTAAGACAGCTGTGCTTTTGATAGAGAAGGAGAGAGATTACATGCTACAGAGAAAAAGAGAGTGATAGCAAGATAGACAGGGAGAGTCATCCTAGAGCTAGAGCTAGATCTAAAGCTAGAGATAGATAGTGGTAGAGGGAGAGAAAGAGATAGAGATAAAGATGATAGAGCTACAGAGACAGAGATTGAGATAGAGATGGAGACAGAAGCTCACACCAGGGTACAAAGCACCTTTGGTTTGGGATTTTTGTGGTGAAGCTCAACCAACTTAATGTACAATATTTTCATTCCATCCAAAGCTGTATATAAAAGTATAAAAGTCCTATGACAGGTACCATTTATTTGATTTTGCACAACCACAGGGAGTTCAATATGGAACCAAGGATTTTGCTTTCTTTTGTGAGTCAACTTGATTTGATTGGAGACAATGTTTTCTTATTTTATTTTACATTAAATATTTTTTTATTTTTCAATTGTAGTTGACATACACTATTATATTAGCTTCAACAGCACAACTTAGTGATTAGATGTTATATAACTTACTGACTATCCTGATAAATCTCACCCATCGTCATACATAGTTATTACATTATTGACTATATTCCCTATTAATACATTATATTTCCATGACTATCATGTAACAATAAATTTGAACTTCTTAATCCCTTCATCTTTTTCACCAGTCCCACAAACCATGCTTCAATGTGACAACTGTCAAATTATTCTGCTTGTCTGTTTCTATTCTGCTTGTTCATTTATATTTTTGGTTTTTAATCTCCTTTTTCTTCTTTTTCTTAAAGAAGACTAACATTTCATGTAATACTGGCTTGGTGGTGAGGAACTCTTTTAGCTTTTTCTTGTCTGGGAAGCTCTTCATCTCTGCTTCCATTCTAAATGATAGCTTTGTTGAGTAGAGTGATCTTGATAACAGGTCCCTGCTTTTCAAGACTTTGAATATTTCTTGCCACTGCCTTCTGGCCTGCAAAGTTTCTGTTGAGAAATCAGCTGACAGTCCTGTGGGCGATACCTTGCAGGTAACTAACCATTTTCTCTTTTAAGATGGTCTTTCTGTCTTTAACCTTTACCATTTTAATGATGATATGTCTTGGTGTAGGCCTACTTGGCTTCATTTTGTTTGGTACTCCGTATTTTCTGGACTTAAATATCTATTTTCTTTGCCACATTAGGGAAGTTTTTTGTTATTATTTTTTCATATAGGTTTTCAATTCTTTGTTCTCCCTTCTCCTTCTAACACCCACATCATGCAAATATTGGTATGCTTGTAGGTGTATAAGAAAAGTCTTCCCAAGAGGGCCAGATTGCCCACATAGCAGCCAGGATCCACTGGGGAAGACAAAAATTCTGAGACTTTCACTCCCATCCCTAAATGGACCTGAAGTTGGCACACACAGTGTAGGACAGACTGCACTAAAAAATGACCTGGTTGTTGCCATTCTTCTTTAACAAATGTTTTGGGCACCACCCCCTCATGGTCACAAACTGTTAACTTCTTACTTGGTTGACCCGTATGACCATTGATTTCTTTCTTTTCACTCTAACTTTAGCTGTACATCTCTGTAATTCATTTAAGAGGGACCAAACCTCCTGTCTCCCCTGAATGAATCTTTGTACTTGTTGTTACAGGGTGCACAACTGAGACTGACTGCTGGGTGAACAAGGAACTTAGAAGGGAGTTAGGGCACCATTCTAGAAGCTGTTTTTGAATTAATTCCTGGCGCTCAGCTTTCAACCACATCCACAACTGCCCCGTCATAGGCAGACAATAGCATGGAGGAGCATTTATTGCCCAATTACACAGGTAATTTGGTTGAATGTTTGTTATTAATTTAATGGTTGCCCATTAAATCCTGATAATTGGCCTATAAATTTGTCAATCTTTCCTTTCCAGAAAACTGTGTCTCTGTGACACATCTTAGCCTCATTCCAAAAGTGCCAAGAACTATGAAGGGTCTGAGATTCTACTGAGTTTTTAAGCTAACCTGCTAACCTGCTATATTTTCTTGGATTCTATTAGAAAACATGAGATTAATGGATCAGAGACAAAGGACACTTTATTACTCCTAGTAAAATCAGTAGTCAAAATACTAGCACACTTGTGCCAGCCGCTGAGCCTCAATTGCCAGAAGGTTGTATGGAGAGAGAAGTGACAACCACACGTGCAGAGGATTGTGCAGAGAAGTGACAGCCACACGTGCAGGCTTGAGCTTAGGGAATCCAGATATTTTATAATGGTTAAATATTGTTCATTATATAATCATTTTTTAAAGAAATACTCCAGAATAAAGGACAGCTAATGACTTATTTATAAGGTGTGAAGAAATGTGGGAGATTCATTTGGAATTGTTTCCCAGTAGCAATGTGCTTTTTTCTACTCTAGTTGCTTTTATCAGTGGTTTTAAAGCAATTTAATCGTGATGTGCTTTGTAGTAATTTCCTTCATCACTCTTGTGCTCTGATTTTGTAGAGCTTCTCAATTTGCAAGTATATAGTTTTCACCTACTTTTGGCAGAAATTTGGCCATTACTTATTCCACTTTTGTTTACTGCCTCCCTTCCTCTTTCCTCTCATCTGAAGACTCTGGTAACATGTATTTTTCCATTTAAAGTTGTCTCAAAACCGTGGATGCTTTGTGTATGTGTTTGTTCTTTTTAGTTTTTTAAATTTCTATCTCTTTTTGGATAGCTTTTATTACATCTTCAGAGTCACTGATTCTATCTTCTGTAATGCCAATTCCAATGTTAATCCCAAATAGTGTATTTTTATTCCCAATGTTGAATTTCTCATATCTAGAAATTTTAATAAAAGTTTTCTTTTAATCTTTCATGTCTCTAACATCATCAGTCTTTCATCTGACTTCTTAAGTACACAGTACACAGCTTTAACACCTTTTTAAGTGTTCTTGCTGGTAATTATAGCATCTGTCAGTTTTGGATTGATTTTTATTTAATTTTTTGTAGTTCAACATTTTTTTCTTTAAGATACTTTGAAAAGCAGTTTAAGGTTCACAGCAAAATTGAGGGGAAGGTACATAGGTTTTTCATATACCTCCTGTTCTCACACATGTATATCCTCCTGTATTATCAACCTCCCTCACTAAAGTGGGACATTTTTTTTACAATTAATTAACCTACATTAACACATCATTAGCACCCAAAGTCCACAGTTACATATTTGTTTATTCGTGGTGTTGTACACTCTATGGGTTTGGACAAATGAGTAATGACATGTATTTATTATTATAATATTGAATAGAGCATTTCACTATCTTAAAAATCCTCTTTGCTTTGTCTATTCATCCCACTCCACCCCCTAACTCCTCTCAACCACTGATCTTTGTATTATCTCCATAGTTTTGCCTCATCCATAATTTCATACAGTTGAAATCATACAGTATATAACTTTAGATTAGCTTCTTCACTGAGTAGTATGCACTCAGGATTCCTCCATGGTTTTTTTTCATGGCTTGATAACTCATTGTTTTTTCATTATCTGGATATGCAACAATTTATTTATCCTTCCACCTCTTGAAGGACACATTGATTGCTTTCAAGTTTTGGCAACCATGAATAAAGCTGCTATTAATACCATATGCAAGTTTTTGTGTGAACACAATACTTCAACATATTTGGTTAAATACCAAAAGAATGCAATTGCTGGACCATATCATAAGAGTATATTTTGTGTTGTGAGAAATCACCAAACTACCTTCCAAAGTGGTTATACCATTCTGTATTTTCACTAGTGATGAGTGAGCATTCCTGTTGCTCCACATTCTCATTAGCACTTGGTGTCGTTACTGTTCTAATAGATGTAGTGGTATCTTATTAATGTTTTAATTTACATTTCCATGATTACATATGACATGGAGCATCTATTCATATTCTATTTGCCAACTATAGATCTTTTGTGAAATATCTATTAAAGTCTTTGTCTCACTATTTAATTCATTTTTCATTTTCTTATGGTTGAATTTTAAAAGTTTTTTGTATACTTTGGGTTAACAGTTTTTTATTAGAGTTATTTTTTGTGAATATTTTCTCCCTATCTGTTGCCTTTTCTCATTCCCTCAACAGCATTTTTTCAACGGTCTCTTTTTAAAAGATTTTATTTATTTATTTTTAGAGAGAGGGGAAAGGAGAGAGAAAGAGAGGGAGAGAAACAATATGAGGTTGTCTCTCATGCACCTCCTACTGAGGACCTGACCCACAACTGAGGCATGTGCTCTGACTGGGAATTGAACCAGCAACTGTTTGGTTCACAGGCCAGTGCTCAGTCCCCCAAGTCACACCAGCCAGGGCCTCTCAATAGTTTTTTTGCAGAACAGTTTTTTTTTATTTTAGCAAAATCCAGGTTATCAATTACTTCTTTCTTGGACTTGTGCTTTTACTCCTAAGCATTATAACTGCCTGGGCCTTCACAGACTTCTAGCTTCATTGCTTTAACTTAGGAAAACAGTGAAACTTTTTCTGGATTATTTCTTTCAGAGCTGTTCCCTGAAAACTTTCTTCAAAGAGTTACCTAGAGAAATTGTAGAGTTCACCTCCTGATATTTTAAAATTTCTCAAAGATAACTAGATATCATCCCTTTATATCCAATATCTTGAAAATTATTGTTTCACATATTTCATTTATTTTTCAGTTGTTTTCACTGGAAGGGTAATTCTGGCCTCTATTTACTCATTTTGACAATAAGTAAAGTCAGTAATATGAATGCTACCATTCACATTAACTCATTTAGGTTCTATTAGAATTAAATTTCAAATTCTTATGTCTAGAAGACAAATCTTCTGCATCTACTTTGATATATAATGAAACTAGAATAATTTAATTTAAAGAAGTTAATCTATGACCACCTAGTAGGTGGTAGTATGAAACTAGAACCTAGATCTTGCTACTGCAGCTGTACTGCGCTTAATGACTTAAATCCTGTAAGTTGTGAGTGGCCTGAGATTCCATTTCTACTCACGGTCAAGGCAGAACTCCAGTCCTTGGTTTCTCTAGGTCTGTGCATAGTAGCTATTCTGTCAACTACTTGAAACTTCAATGAATTGTCTAAAATATGTTTGCAGAACACAAAATCAATCCCATGAATCATCATTTAGAATTCAAAGTTTGGATATTATTATCTGTTAGTCACTGCTTGTAGATTTAATTTCCTCTGTAAAATAATCTGTTATTGACAGCTGAAGTTCAACTGAGAAATTTTGTGTTGCAGTGATTATAGAGGACTCCATAAATATGGCCACATGCTTAAAAGATAAATTCTAATTTCAGTCATTTAAAAGCATACAATTAACGTCTCACTAGTATATTATGGCAACATTTGAACTCTCATTTAAGTGTGTTAAATAACAGCATTAAATAACAATAAAAACAAAATAACAGTTTCGTGGTGATGCTCCTGCCAAGAAGGTCTTAAATCAGGATTTTTCTCCCTAAGCATGCCTTTCTCCTCCTTTTCCACATTGCTAATAAAATCTTCTTAATAAATAATTTAAGTCCCAAAGTCCATAATCTTAAATTACTTTCACACAGATTCTACCATTCCTAGGGAAGAGTAGCATTTATTAACTTCTGCCCGTGTCTGTTAAACAGTTCTGGCTTTCTAGACCCTACAAGATTTGCCATTCATTTGTAAATTGTAACTTTTTACAACAACAAACTTGGCTGTTTTGGCATTTCTTTTCAGCACTGGGTATATTTGTTGAGACAGTGGGAAAATATGTGAGAGAAGAGCAATTAAATTTGTCTATTAAACCAGATAATAAATTTAATAGATATTTCATTTTTTTCTATTAAGAACAACAGGTTCAAGATTACTAAACATTTATGGCAACTGATCAAGGTGTTATACAGTGTTGTCTTAAAAACTTCTGAGCCTCAGGAAGATAAAATGGGGTTCTTTGCAGAAATAAAGAGTGGGAAGGTGAAAAAGTATTATTGGATCTTTTAAAAGAAGAAATGCATCTTGTTCTTAACATCATGCTTTAAGTTAATTTTGTAATCCTGAAGTTTACATATAAATTTTGACTATAATCATATAATTATTAGCCACAAAACCATTTCTGTAAATAACCAAAATTTAGGTCCGTGACTTTTGTTATTCATTTCCTCTCCTGTAATATTTGATAATATTTTATCTCCAAAAATTAATTTTAAGAAATAAAAAATATTTACCCAGTATAATAACTGGGTTTTTATAGATTATTTCACATATCACTTGAGGTCATGTTCTTACCTCTTCCTTACTTCTCTTCATGTTTTGTTTCTCATTTCTATATATGCTTATTTTCCTCTTACAAATGGTATAAAATAATATTTCTCAGAATTTTTTGGAAGACAAAAAATAATAAGGTTGTCCATATTAATTAATCAAATAGCACATTGTTTTTATGTTTTAATTATAACAATGATAAAGTAGTTTTCAATCAAAGTAAAATGTCTCTTGTAGCTGCCAAAAGAGCTAGTAAGATATGAAAGAGTATTCAGAGAAGCACAGTGACCTACCAAATGGGAAGTCTGAGTCATGCTTCAGAGCAATGCATTCAGTTTTAAAAGCGACACTAGGAAAAATTGACAAGTTGGAGTGAAGTAGCAAGACAGTTACCAGACATAATGGTATTAAAACCATGCCACATAAAGAGTGTGTTGGAGTTGGTAGGTGGACGTGTGTGGGCACAATTTAATAGCTCTCTGTATATCTGAAGGACTTTCATTGAATTTGGTCTATGAATGTGTTTCTTCATGTCAGAATTAGAAGAAAGGTAAAAGTGTTGGGAGTCAGAGTCTGCTCAACAGGATGGGAAGTTTTCAAAATGATCAAAATTACTGAAAATGGAAATCAGTATTCTAACAGTGCAATCCAGCAATGTGCTGAGAACACTATCAATAGGGTATAAGGTTCTACTAATTATTTTACTAGATGATTTCTCAGACCCTTTTAACTCTGCAAACCTAGGACTTTTATTTGTCTTAAAGATAGTTGATACTTACCCAGATAGAGACTCATAGATAAGTAAAAGATCCAAATTAAGCAAAAACTAGTTTGATAAGGGAGAAATCTCTACAATATTGATCCCAAATTCTGGGGTGTATGTGTCCCAGCTAGCAGCTTCTTTGAGAACTGCCTTTAATAAAGAGAGATGACTTGTCCAAGATCATACCACCCTTGCATAAGGCAACCTATATCTAATGACTGAGTGAATTGGGAGTACAAAAGCCTAGCCCCTTTCCTTATCTCCGAACAACTATAAAATACCGGAGTGGGCTGAACTCACACTTTGCCAATGTTGTAACCCATATTCTAAAGTTGCCAATTCCATGAATACCTAGAACAGTGTCACTAATGAAGGGAAATCCTGTTGGAGAAGGTGCCTATCTTACCTGAGCCATGTCATTCCACCCTTCTGGCTGGACCTTCTGCTGGGAAAACAAAATCAAGTCTCACATAATGCCTCTGTCGTTGTACCCTCTAGTATTCTTGCTGTAGGACAGTACTGTAGCATACCTCTGTGAGTGTAAACCATGTTGTCCCTGCTTGCATGCATGGTTGTGACCATGCTTGATCAGAGCTGTTTCTAATAATGTTATTCCAGAATGTCTTCTTTCCAGATAATGATGTACAAGCTAATAAAAAAATAATGCCAAGTACCACAAGAGTAACAGAAATTTGCTGTTTTCTGGGGATTTGTTTTTTACCTTTTTTTTAATGGAGTGCACTGGATGTCTCTATAATTTTGTTCAGATGACTACAGAACCTGGAAAAGCCATTGCTGCTATTGATGCATAACATACTGCTATTGGTCTTTTTATATAAATAAATAAACAAATAAATATATATAATTTTAATTTTTGGAAACTTAAGCTGTGCTGTCTACTTTGGAAAAACTATGTTGGTTTTACCACATTGGGTGGACATTATAGAGAAATTAACAGCCATATAGGTATAGAAATGTTCAACATAATTTTTTCCATTTTTACAGGAGTAAAATGTTGTATTAAATAGGTAAGATCTTAATCTACATGGGTTTGATTACAAAAACAAATAAAGTATTCTCTATATAATGAAAAAAAATAAAGTTGCCAACTCCTCTTTTCTTTCCTTAGGATCAGAGGAGCAACAAGTGACAGCTATGTTGGAGGCCTTGGAAAGATCCATGAATTTCAGAGGGTGAGGTATAAACCTATTAAAGAGTTAAGATACTGTCACATTAATACAATTTGGGGGTTGAGTAGTTTTTTGACTTTGTAACCCACTATTTTGCCAAATTCATTTATTAGGTCAAGCACTTTTGGGGTGGAGTCTATAGAATTTTATATGTACACTATCCTGTCATCCACAAACAATGATAGTTTTACTTCCTCTTTTCCAATTTGGATGTCTTTCATTTCTTTTCTTGTCTGATCACTGTGGCCAGAACATCCAATACCATGTTGAATAAAAATGACGAAAGTGGACATCATTGTCTTCTTCCTGATCTTAGTGGGAAAGCTTTTAGTTTTTGCCCATTGAGTATGATGCTGCCTGTAGGTCTCTCATATTATGGACTTTATTATGTTAAGGTATACTCCCTCTATTCCCATTCTGGTGAGTATTTTTATCATAAATGGGTGTGGTACTTTATCAAATGCTTTTTCTGTATCTATTGATATGATCATGTGACTTTGTCTTTCCTTTTTTATGTAATGTATTACACTTATTGAATTATGAATATTGTGCCATCTGTGCATCCCTGAGATGAATCCCACTTGATCTTTGTGTGTGATGTTTTTAATGAATTGCTGGATATGGTTTGCACAGCTGAAGAAAACATCAGCAAAATGAAACAAGAACCAACCATATGGGAAAATATATTTGCAAATGATACCTTGGGCAAGGGTTTGATCTCCAAAATATAGAGAGAACTCATAGGACTCCACTCCAGAAGACCAAAAAAAGAAAAAAACAATTTAAAAATGGACAAAGGACATGAACAGACCTTCCTCCAAGGTCAACACAAAGTGTTCAGAGACATATGAAGGGATGCTCAGCATCACTAGCCATCAGAGAGATGCAAATGAAAATCACACAAAATACCACTTCTCACTGGTTATAATGGCCATTCTAAACCAATCAACAAACAACAAGTGCTGGCCAGGTCGTGGAGAAAGAAAACCCTAGGACGCTATTGAAAGAAGGAGCTCCTACTCTTTATAAAAGCTTGAATGGAACTGAAGAGCATTAAGGTGAGCAAAACAAGCCAGGTGGTGAAAGACAAATACCACGTGATCTCATCCATAAGTGGAACGTAATAAAGCAAACAAGCAACCAAAATAAAATGAGAGACATTGAAACATAGAATAAAGTGACAGTAACCAGAGGGGAGGTGGAAAGGGATAATGGGGGGGAGGGTGAACATGTATGAAGGACACATGGACAAAGCCAAAGGGGATAGTATCAAGGGAGGGTGGGAGGCGGAGATGGTTGGGGTGGAGGCAAGTGATGAAGGAAAAATGCAGACAACTATAGTTAAACAATGATAAAAAAGAGAGAGAAAGAAAAAAATACGATTTGGGGGATCTACTAATCTGTGGCATTCCAGGAAATACCTTCTAAAATAAAGTACAACTAATGCATCTCATACCTCCTAGCTTAGAGAAAGAATTATCATGCCCAGCAGACCATACCTAGAGGACTGCTCTGGCTGTTGCATAAAGAGGCATGAAAAGCTGCAAAGTCTGAGTAACACACAGAACAGAGAAAGGCTCTATAGAAAGTCTAGATTTCCCAATTTTTGTATAAATAGCTCTAATGCTTGGGTCATTTAATCTGACCAACTGTGTTGTCTTAAGTCTATCTGTGATAAGAAAAGATGGTACATAGTGTTTATATACAGCATAATGGGAAAATTATAATTCAGCCCTCTGGGATTCTGTACCAAGGCTATACCATCTACAAGGGAGAATCAAACATCTTTTGAATTAAACATCTTGTAATGGTGGCTCTGTTAGAGATGCATTATAAGATACTAATTGACATGTAGCCAGAAATGTCCACTCCAAGCTGGATTCTGTCAACAACACCCTGTTTGAGGACTTACAGCAGAGGCAAGTATGAAGGAGGCAGTCCAGTTAAGGAGCTGTTATAACAATTGAGGGAGGTGGAATTGGTGGTGTTAGAAAGTGCTCAGATTCTGAATATGTCCTGAAGATAGAGTTGACACCGTTATGTTGGTGGACTGAATGTGGAGTGTTATGGAAAACAGAGATCCAGAAATGACTAGGAGCTTCTTGGCCTGAGGAAAAGTGGAAACAAAATGAATTGGCTGTGTACTGAAATGTCAAAGACTGTAAGAGGAGATTTATAAAAGACCAGGGCCAGGTGGGATGGAGCTATCCAAAGCTCAGTTTTGAACATGTCGAATTTGAGACACTTTTTACACATCCAAGTAGAGCAGTCAAATGGGCAGTTGATACACAGGTCTAGGTTCCAGGAGAGAGGTCCAAGCTGGAGAAGTACATTTGGGAATGATGATCATGTAGATCCCTTTAAAACTATGAGTCTGTATGAGATCATTAAAGAAGCATGCATAAATAAAAAAAGATAGTCAATAACTGAATGCTGGGACACTCTCACATTTAGAGGTCAGGGAGATGAGGGGCATCCAGCAACAGAGCCAAGATAACAAAGCCAGATATGGGAAGAAGACAATTTTTTTCTCTTGGAGCAAAGTAAGGAAATTGTTTCATGGAGAGAGTGATAAACATGATGTCATTTACTAATTAAGATAGCTTGACCCCACTGTTCTGTTTCTTCAAATATGCTCTACTTTGGCATTTTTTTCTTTCACTTTTTTCTTTGTTAGGTCCCATTGCCCCCTCATCCCATCAGTCCCTGTGTCTTTGCCCCCTCCTCTTTCCCTATATTAATAGCTCTTCAAATGCAGTGGTGAGCACTTAGCAACTCATGTCCTATGAGGTACAAAAGGCCTCTTTCTAGTTTATAAACACAAACATAAGTCCTGGCACAATTTGTACTCTGACCTTACACGTTGCCCAGTGAATTCACAGCTCTTTTTAGACATACCTCATTAATCCTAAGATAAGCTTTAAGTACATAAACTATAAGCATTAAAATTTATTTGGAAGCACATGTGAAGAATTAATTGCCTACAACAGGTCAAGTGGAATGTCTAAACTAAATAAAATAAATTAATCTGTAGATAAAGTCTCATTTTTATAAGCTTTTACACATGAATATTCATGGAAACCACATAGAATTGATTATGGAAATATAAATCCAGGTAATTCAACAAGGAAAAGACCCCGAGATAATGCCTGAATTAAACAGGCACAAGATCATATTATTTACATTAATGTCATCATAATTAGCATTATCTATGAGGAGCCTTAATCAGTGTCAGAACTCAGCTAAATACTTTAAATTATTATCTGAATTATTATAGCCACTCTGTAAAATAGAACCTATAATTATTTATCTTTAGATATGGAGCTCCAAGTTCAGAGACTGTAAGAAAGTTGGCTAAGGTCACACAGATAAAAGAAATGGGCATGAAATATGTCACTATAAAACTTAATAATAATAATGAAGACTTAACCTTGGCTTTAAAATAAGAATTAAGATTATTCCCAATAGCACTAGTTGGTGTGGGTCCGTGGATAGAGTGCCAGCCTGTGAACCAAAGGGTCACTGGTTCTATTCCCAGTCAGGGCATATGGCTGGGTTGCGGGCCAGTTTTCCCAGTAGGGGCTGCTCGAGAGGCAACCACACATTGATGTTGCTTTCTCTCTGCCTTCCCGTCTCTCTAAAAATAAATAAATTAAAATTTTAAAAGAAAAGATTATTGACAATAGTATCATAAAAACTGAAATGAGAAATCTTGAAGATTTTTTAAGCTTAAGAGATAGGAAACAGAACCAAAAACAAAAAAAATTAAAAGTTGATTCTTTGGAAAAAACTAATGAAATTGATCATTGTCTAGCAAAACTAAATAAGGTAATAATATAGACAATAAACATCTTTATTTCTATCTTATATTTTTATTATCTATCTATCATTATCTATACCTACCTATCTAAGCTAAAATAAACTTGGAAAGGAAAATTGGCCCAGGGCAAGAAAGGGAAATGAGAGACCAATGTCACTTGTTAAAACAGATTAAAAAAATTCTAACAAAATGAAGATACCATTAGCAAAATAAGTGATTAAATATTTATATTTCAATTAGTGCCTCTTTATCATAGTGCTTGAGTCATTCTCACCATTTTCATATAACTTAAAACATTCTTCTTGCCTACTCCTTGCTTCTAAGTATTATTTTGGTATGGTTATGCTTGGCTTGCTATTCTTTAGTTCAAGGCAATTCTCAAGCAGTATTTCTATAGGCAATGACAAATGAAGGAAGGTGTTGAACAAAGACATCTTAACCCCATTTGAGCTTTCCCAGGATCATTCTACCTGTGGTATGTAATAACACTGGAAGAAAACACACTGAAAATCAGTTAGGATGCTCTTGTAAGGGAAAAGATAACAAAAGCATGGATGTCTGTAGTGTATGAATGAAGCTGAAATAAGATAAATACAATAGATTTAACTAGTTAAAATTAAAGCTTTCTTCCATACTATAGATATTTCTAATAGTCTTATAAAAATAAACTTAATTCCCCAAATTAGAGAAATTAATTAATTAAATAGCATTAACTTTTTTTGCATTACAAAGCAATATAAATTGTGCTTAAAATTATTAAATACAATAACTGAGTACAGTTAGTACACAAATACAAAATAAATATTGAAGATTTTTTCTATGTCATGATAATGACTAGTTGTAAGATATTAGTTGGATACACTAAAAACATAATTTTATGTTTATAAAATATAAACAAAAGAAAATATTAAGTTTAAAATTGATTAAGCATACATTTTATAATACAATATAATTTAAAAGAAAGTATATAAATAAAAGCACAACATTTTACTAAGGAACATAAAAACGATTTTTTCCATAAAATGATTTTAATAAGCAGAGACAACAAAAGTTTTTTGTTAGATGTTTTCTTTAAGAATAATATGTCTGTATTGGTGACAGAATAAATAATAAACTTTTATATATAAAAGTCTATTTGATTCAAAAAATAAATCTGACAGATATAGTTCAAAAGAGTTCAATT